ACGACATCATCAGCACAAGCTTGAGTTAGAGGTTGATGATGTTCAGAAGAATAACGAAAGCTTCACAACCGAAACATTCAACCCAGAGGACAAAACTCCACCCGAGCTACAAATCTTCTCCACCATCTCAAAAGCATTACCTTAATGCCAAGTCTTTAAAATATACTAAAATTGAACCTCAAACTATTTTCAGGACTTTTTTAAAATCTACATTAGACCCTTAACAATTTAAATTTCTATATGTTCTCTGTAAAATAAAAACGATACAGTACATGAATGTACGATCTATTTCAAACTAGTTAACTAATACATTACACAAACGTACAATAGTCAGTCACACAAGTAATTTAAATCATAAAACAACAACTTATAACTTATGTTACATAATATACAGTGTAGCAAATGTATCTGTCTGCCTGTTTTCATTTCATCTATACACACAAACAAATACAAATACAAAGATAAATATTGATGTAAGCATATGTTAGCGCTTATATCGTTATGAGTGAATGTGATGACTAACGTTTAAACAGAGGTACGCATTTGTATGAGCGCTGTAATGATTAACTATGTACAATGTTTAGATTTTAATGATAAACAATATAAAGGAACTTCTCATTAATTTGCATTATAAGCAAATTGTATTCTATGTATATGTTCAGTTGTTATCTGTAGACATATATATTGTCAATGGCATATCTAAGTGTATTTGAAACGTTATAGTCTGAGAATGAAATAACCAAATTCATTACTATTTCTTTTCAACATCTCTTTTCATGTAACTAAAAGAATATTTTATTACAAAAGTCTGGTCTACAAAATTCTCCTACTAGGCAAATACAATTTGATTGGTTTATTTTCGTATATTATTGAATGCCCACCAGAGAGTTAGATGCTATGGGGAGTAGAAATTATTAAAATCACATTCATCATCGCCATCATCATCCCCAACATCATCATAATTATAGGTAAGTTCAGAGGGCAGAATTTAAAAAAAATAATAATAAATATAAGACTGGGCCAACTATTACACAAGGTCATGTTGGGGTCAAACAAGGACGCATGAAAATAAAGGCATAACAGAATTTTCATGTTACGTGTCTTTTAAAAACACAAATGCCATATTTCTCCTAGTGGAATAAAATAAGGTTATTTAGAAAGTGAAATTTTACATATATGTATATTGGTGAATGAATAAAATGAAACAAAGTAGATGAATGGATGGGAGAAAGAGAAATTGTAAAAAGAAACATACTCTCACATATACATACAATACATAATCAAGTTCTGACATACACAATGCACAGAATACTAATTTCAACCAAAGGCTTTTTACATCTAATAAACAAAACATCCCAAAATAAACTGAAATAAACAGAAAATATTAAATGAGAAATTAAAACAGAAAATACATTGTCGCTAAGTATTTATGTCGTAAACTAGAAGTTAAATTCAACAGTGTATAAAAACAAACTAACAGAATGATGAAACATATTTATATATGATTGTTCAGTGAATCAAGACAGTGAGAAGGAAAAAACAAAACAGAACTCAGTAGATTTTGATGAATAGATGGGTGGTTGAAAGTAGTCAATAAGATACCATGCACTCAGGTTTTGCATTATTTAACACTTGTCAATAAGGTGATGCTCATTAGGATTGGAGGTCTGGGTAGTTCAGTGGTAAAGTTTCAAACAGTGAAGCAGGGTGATGCAAATTCGAGCCCTACTAGGACGACTAGTACACTCAATATTACATTTAAGCCTTGGAGATGAATGACAACTAGTACGAAATCCAAATTTTTTTGTAGACTACCTGCAACTACCTAACATCAAAACGTGGCTCGCGTGATATTGAGTCACCTAAGGTAACGGTTACGTTGTAACTTGACTGACAGAATCCAGTCAGTAGAACTCAAAGACTAAATCAGTATGACACTGTTGACACCTTAGTGACTAACCAACTATAATAGAAAGGCCGAAAAACAATCAATCAGTCCGAACATACCTCAGTTTTTAGAGACTCGAGAAGTTTTTTTAATTAATTTAAACCCTTTAAAAATACTGGACAGTGCTCAAAATGATATTACCTAGTATGGTAAATAACCAGTGAAAACGTCTCAATGATATTAGAAGAAACTGAGTAATTACGTCATAAGAACGAGGGGTGTTAAACAATTATAGACGTCTTCATTATAACTGATAATGATCCTTAAGTGACTAATTGCAATACTTCTAAATATAAAGTATGCTTAATTTATATAAGTAGAAATAAATTTAGGTAATAAGTGTACTTCATTGTTAATCTATTTAGACGTTAGTAGTAACCAGTCCCAAAACAACATATAACTTATTATAAATGTGTAACGGTTCGATTTACATTTCACCTGAGCATAACAACAAAATACTAACAAGATGATAGGTAAATACATAGAAATAATAACGATAGTGGAAGATTAAATGTGAGAATTATAGTTCAGAAGGAATGAAGAATATTAGGAGAAATAATTTGAAAACTAAGAGGTAAATAGGTAATGAATACACCCACACCGATTAAAATGTTAACATCTTTTAATATGATCGGGTCTAATAGTCTATGAACAGTTTATGAACCGATTGTATATGTTCGTCTAATTGCTGTCGTAGTTCTTTCTACTTACTTTCATGCTAACCAGGAAAAAACGAAAATAAACTCTCTGAAATGTCATTTAATAATTACAAACGTCTAACTATGTAATTGACCAAGTACCATGTTGTTCAGCTACTAAACAGTGAAGAGTGTGGGTGCAATAGAATTTCACTTTGTGAGTACTGGATGACCAAACCATCAGGCTGTCACATTATCACTTATCGTTTATTTAAAAAAGACTTTAAACAGTAACTCAATGATCTAAAGGCGATTGGGAATGTGGTAAGGTTTGAACATTTTAGGTTTGGTTATACACGCGTTTATGAATGCCAATTTTCTCTTGACAGAACGAAATGACTATCCGATGCTTATAATGGTTTTCAGTGGTTATCCAATTAAATTTAGTTCATGATGCAAACTACAAAACGAAATAACATGTTTACCTTGTGCATATATCATCTATTAAATTAGACGGGAAAATATTGAATCTAACTGACTGACTCTCAACTACATTCTTAAAACTAACCAAGTGAATTAAATGTCAATGTAGATTTCAAGATCAGTAAACGAATATATTATAGAGATCGTGTAAAGGATAAAGTATGTTAAATGATTTAGAAAACTGCATCATCACAGTGTACTTCAAATTATCATTAGAAAACATAGTGAACGAATCAGTTATTAAATTCTAGTTGAACTTATTCACCTGAATATTGCAATTGATCTTTTGAATGAAGACATTTAGCTGTGTATTTCTAAATGCAACTTTCAGTAAATTAAATTACGCATTTGTAATACATTGTAAATAGTGAAAATTGAGCAACTGAATGCATAAACTCCTAGTTAGTTACTAAAATGCCCATATTTATATATACCACACAAAAATAAATGTATTATATATAGGAAAAATGTATTTCAATTACAAGAAAGTAACATGAGCATAGCTTTTGAACAGAAAGAAAACAAAGGAGAATGATTAAGGTTTCATGCTGTTATATTCTTTTTTACGTGTATGCCAATATGTATGTCAAGAAGAAGAAGAAGAAGATGATGATGATGATGATGATGGTGAGATAATCTTTTCTCAACAAAACAATTAAAGAGTTAAAACACCTACTGATTTGTACATACAAAACAAAACACACTACTATTCACAGTTGAAGTATAAAATTAACAAACTAAAACAATACACCCTAGAAACTATAGAGGTAGTTTAAGAAAAAAAAGAAACTAAGATTATGCATCTTTTTTTTCGAATAGACAAATAAAGAAAACTTTTTTTAAAGACAAAACTGCACAAGACTATCAAAGATTATAGTGAATTTCAATAATTTAATTGAAATTTTTACAGGAATAAAAAAAACACAACAGCTATCTAAACAGAAGTAGATCAGGTTGAGATAAACTTCAGTTATAAACATATACTGACTGAAAGTTGAGCTTTCTTTAACGAATAAGCTATCGTCTCATACAGAATTATAATCACATAAGTAATGACTAATTCCCTAGACCACATTTACAGTTATTCAACTCTTACTTAAAACTCTCAATTAACATAGACCACTAAATTATGAAGTGGTTCGATAAGCTAATGAATTCAAACTATCATCTGATATTAATCAAACTATAAAAATAACTATTCTTCTTTTTAGTTCCGATGTTCAATAACTTTTGGATTAAAAAAAAGTTTCACAGACTGAAATCATGAGTCAATTGAAGGTAGACCACCATGGAAAACCTGGAAGCACTGGACGGCCGTTTCGTCCTAGTAAGGGACTGCTTGAATAAATTAGGACAGTTCATCAATAAAAGAATAACATTTCCTAAAATATATTAAAAAATTTCGAGTCCCACGTGCGAGATCATGGCTCCGCACTGCTGAGGAGTCACATATAAAGACGAAACAACCATCCAGTGCTTCCAGGTTTTCAATAATAGTCCAGCTTAGATCGACTGTGAAAAATAATATTTGTCTACAACTAAAGATTTCTTAAATAAACAAAAAGACTGATCATAATTTTAAGAAAATGGTTGTTTTTAAAATATTATTGTGTTTCGCTTAATTGAATATGACCTTCATGTTGTTAACGTCTCTTCCGTTCATACTATAACATGTGGTACACCCGATTTACTACAATATATCTTTATTGATAATATGTATTAAACTAAGCTATTTATAAACATAGCAATTGAGAATAATAAATTTTAAATATTAGTTAGCAATGAAATCTATTTAGGACAAATCAGTTGAATAAATATACATCTTAATGTTGATTTTAAAATTGAAAGTCAATTATGAATAAATAAAAATACAATTAAATTCATTAATAATTATATATACATATTTTATGTATATAAGAGAACATTCTTACCAAAGTGATTGGTCTGCATCGCATAATTTTAATCTTTTCATCGGTATATGGAGAGAAATTTTGATAAGCTTGACTTATAGTTAGTATAGTTTCATATAAACCAAGATGATCATTCCCTGGTCTACTACATACACCATAACGACCAGTAGTCGTAGTTGTGGTTGTTGTAGTCGTTGCCACAGCCGCTGCTCCCACTACTGCTGAATTACCTGATAATTCTGATGTACACGAAGGTGGTGGAATAAAAGCGGAAACATGTCCACTACCATTACCAATAGTTGAATCAATTCTCATTGAATTTGTTGATGAATTATGCGGTATTGACATTAGTTGGTCTGAATTATCTCTTCCACAGTCAGAACCACGTGTTCGTCTAGGCATTCTACCATATCGTACACTATCTTTTGACATACCAGCAGCAAGACATTTACGAAAACGACAATATTGACAACGATTACGATTTAAACGTATTACAAGACATTTTCCATCTCTTAAACATTTATACTCAATTTGTTTTTGAATACTTCGACGAAAGAAACCCTAGATTGAAAAAAGATTTAAAAAAAACAGTTGAATAAACGTTATTACCGATTGCAAATATGTTAACAAATGTGTTATCAAACATTACTGAACATTGATATTACACTGAATATAGTAACTTTAACAGATATTTTATGCTGACGATATATAGTACTCAACTACAAAGCTTATATCTTTAGCTTTTATTTACCTACACGATAGAACGTAAACTTAGTACAATATGGAAGTCAGAAATCTTTAAATACCAAGAGAACTTATGGAAATCTCGATAAACAAAGGAAAGAAGATCAGATTATGAATAAATAAAATAAATATGAAGAAATATAGTTCAATTAAGATGATCAAACTAGATTTCATTCACTTCAGAAAAACATCTGCATAAAACAGAAACTTATTCACGGTTAAATATTTTTAACAAAAGCCTAGGTCAAAATGCATTCTCAGCAGTCCAGTACTTTCATGTTTTCAATAGTTGTCTAGCATAAATCGACTTGTGACTTCAACTGGGGAAATATTACAATCTCCACAAGTCACCATACTGATAAAATGTAGTCCATAAAATTACCAGCCAATCTAGTTTTAAAAGATTAAGGAATAGATAAGAAATATTCTTAATGAAAGAAGATCCTTAGGAATTATGAAAATGTCTGTAAATAAAATAGGTTTAGTATTATTACAAGATAATTTTCTTTAGTCTTCTACTCTGCAAACTATACGAAGTTAGAGCTTCAAATTATCCAACCTTTCTTTTAAAGTAAAATACTTCTTTTCACATCTCATATTACTGAGAGATAAGATCTAAAAATATGTACTGGTGTATTCATAGTGTGAAGATGAAACGCTATCCTTAAGTTCTGAAAACTGACTTGAAATTGAATCATATTTATTAATTTTTATCTTAATACACATTTTACACTTAGAGAAACATGAAAAACACAATCTTTTTAAAAGTCAACGTATTAACCATGTAAAGGTTTATGTATTTATCTTTGATTCACATTCTACGATGGAGGTTTAGTAATATTAACCGTTTACTCAAAATGAAGTATATAAAGTGGGTCTTGAGCCTGCAACCTAAAGGCTTAAAGTTGAATAACTTAAACAATGAGCCACCACTCTATACTGGTGATAACAAGCATCATTATTAGTATATTGAATTTTAAAAATAAGTATTATGAATTAGAGAAGAAATATTCACTACTTCTCCTATAAAGAATAGAATTTATATTTGAGTTAGTGAGTGACTATTTCGTGTATGTGCACTGCTGAGGAGTCCCACACTAGGGCAAAACGGCCGTCTAGTGCTTCCAGGTTTTCAATGGTGGTCTAGCTTCAGTTAACTCATGAATTCAGCTATTAACATTACGATAATATCCACAAAACCCCTGAGTAGAAATTACTGTTATCATATTTTAAATAAATTTAATTGAGTAATAGACATATTATCAGACAGGTTAAAATTTTGTAGGTCAAGCTCTAATAGATTTGTGCGTTTTGTGTATGATACTGATATCCATTAGACTGTACACATTTACTTAAACATACCTGAACATATTTACAATAGTTTAGTAATAAAAGTACAAAAATAATGGTTATATTAAAATGAAAGAATGTTAAATGTGTAATTAGTCTTTCAGACTATGTTAAGTGTCATATAATAAATTTGAGAACATTTTCACTTATATTTAATTCACATTTTAGAAGCTAATCGGAAAGTATTACGTTTTCAATGTGAACTCAATTTCATGCAAATATGAAAAGTGGATCATTTGAGTAACAAGCTATTTACAATAAAATGACAAAAGATTCTTCAACTATACTAACAGGAGTGTTTTATAGTTTAAAAAATGGTTTTTATCACAGATTGAGTGATTTTGGCTAGATAATAATTAAGAACTAGGAAGTATTGGATAGTTATTTTGTTTACACATGAATCTTCATGTCAATAATGCACACCAACTACATCACAAGGAATTAGACTGAAGATATTTAGGTATTGCTAGGAGAGTGAGTTAACTTCAGATCAGTTAGCTGTTACTTAGCAATTAACACCTTTAACTCCTGTGAGTTCACAATTTTGAGCGACTAGTGACACTAAAGATATACGTCTGAAACCAGAAAAAGTTGATAGAAAATATAATAATAATAATAAATATTATTATTGCTTATATTAATCCAAAGAGAGCAATTCTGATAAAGAAATCAACACAGATAATACAGAGAGTAATTGTTCTTCTTTTACTAATACGTTAACAAACCTAAATCACGAATAAATTGTAGTGGGGAAAAGTAAGGAACAGTATGGGGGTTCGTGCAGTTGATTGTTGTTAAGATTACGAACTGACTTAAATTAGACAACCAATTAGAACCAGAGGGTAATGGATTACTATTTTGTCCCATAATGGGACTCCACATTCATTCATTTACATAGTGTATTCAATTAAGCACATACAATATTAAGGAATATTTAAACTATAATACAACAACAGTTTCACATTCTTTGATTATAATTTTTTTTCAGAGATTCAGAATGATTACAAAATGATTACTACTAAAGTTTATATTAAATGGACTGTGTTTTCAGTCAGTCAGTTATAACATAGGACAAGGCACATATGTGCATCGGTCCAAGTTGCCATACCTCATTAACACAACAAGAAGTAGTTAATTCAGTGGTGGTAATATATAAAAGAAAGATTGCATATAAGGATATAATACTGGGAGAAAGAATTGGTTCGTAAAAAGAAAAGCATAAACCAATTTTAATCTCTTAGTTTAAGAGAAGATAAAGAGTGCATACACCTACGCCACTGTGATCGATTCTGAGCCATGTCACACAGTCTCCAAGCATTGGTTACGATAGTCACGCGAAGCCCAACCAAGTAGTCTGCATCTAACAACATGCCTCAGACTAGAAGTTGGTAACTTTAAGCACTGATGCAAAGTTTTGGTTTAGCCACCCCTAACTTTCTTCCAACCATCTCCAACACCGGTTAGCATTGCGCGTCGTGGTAATCGGTGTTCAGGCATACGTAACACGTGACCCAACCATCTCAGTCGATGAAGATTCACAACCTCATCAACTGATTTACCATCATTCCCTAATACCCTGCGTCTAACCTCACCATTATTGTGTTTTAAGTAAGTAAGGAGTAATCAATATACTAGATAGTTTTTTTCAGTTTTTAATGCTTCTTCTAGTCAAATTCACTTTATCAAGTTAAAAAATAGCTGATTTTCCTGGAGAAATCTCAACACCATAAAGAGATATCGTCATGTATGTTTCTGTTTGTTTTATCTTTACGATTTTTTGTTGTTGATAAAATATTAACAATCAAATAAATTTATCAGGTGTAATTAATTGTTCCGCAATAAGAAAAAATACAACCCTTCAAACGAGAATACAATAAAGTGTATGCTTTATAGATGCATCATCAATGTGAATTTTTAAGAATGTGAGAAAAAAATACGTAAAACCCGAAAAACCAGGTAATAACATTCACTTCAAATAAACAAAATAACGATGAGAAGAAAAAGGATTTATTTATTGATTGATACCGTTAATGATGATGATGATAATGACAATGACAAGACTAATGATAATAACAGAAGAAATAGCAACTACCCAAGTTCATTATGCTTTATGGATGAAATTATAAAGGAATTAAACATGTTAAAACAGGCAAAACCAATTTGTCATAACATATATATATATATATATATATATATATATATATATATATATATATATAAGTAAACAAGCGTAATGATACTAATAAATTTATCATGTTTTAGTCCGAACACAGTACATACATATGTAGCGGGTTTGGCCAATATACTTAACGTTGTTTAACATTTTATTGGGTTTATTAAGTTGTTTACAAGTGAAAAGATGAGTAGATAAATAGGTAGGTGGATAGATTAAAGACAAGATAGTAAATAAATAAATAAACAGATAAATAAATAACTGAATATACATATACTAAACATTTATACCTATTTGGTAAAGAGAGACCATTCATTATGTATGATTTATTATTACTATTATTCTAGTCTTATCAAGCAGTAGTAACAACCATGGAGAAATAATAACAACAATAAACCTGTTTTCTGCGGCATATATATACATATACAGATACATACATATACATACACTAGAAGATAACAACAAGAGATGTAAAATAATTAAGAAAAGAATAAACAATATTCTAATTAGAAAATAATATATTTACTGAAATTAAAACAGTAAATAGTATAGTTGCCACTGTTTTGTATAGTAGACGATTGACGGAAATACAAGTAGAAAGTAGTTTGGAAGCTCTCGCAGAATGATTACTTATACTAAAAGAAATACTATGGAGTAATGCCACTGCATTAAAGATATTCAATCTGATATGAATTATATTTAATTTTTTAAATCATTTAAATATTTATCCTTTTAGTATTATTCATATTTTGTTTAGCCATTGTATGTGCAATATTGACATTAAACGAACAATTGTGAGTAGGTAAGTTTAGCCAACTCGTAAGACCGTGATCTGATAGCAATTTGTACGAAAACGAATAGTGTAGAATGTAAAATTCATAGTTACAAATGAAAATAAACAAGATATTTATTACCTTCATGTTTAAAGTTTGGAATTAAATACCATCGATTCTAAAACAGAATAAATCCGGGTATTCAATTTTCTCAAGGATGCGAACGCATATTGTTAATGATTAATACTAAGCATTAGATACATTTCAAGTTATGACTCAAAATGCTAAATTTCTTGCGATTCATCATCCTACCACGTGTCCAAGCACTCGACGTCATATCATACGATTTATTATGTATAAAGACTATTGATACTGTCAGGTTTAGCAGTTTTAATCTGTAATATCAGTTATCAAAATTTGTCTGTTGTTTCAGTCATTAAACTACCCCATTATTGGGACTCTACACTGGATTTCGTAGACTAGTTTCTTAAAAACTAAGTGCAATAGAATGCAACCTGTAA